GGCCACAAAGCGCCTCTCCTTCGAGCATGACGGGACGGATGTCCTGCGGAATCGACTGATGCAATGATGCTGCGGAGCAGGAAACACGCGAAGCAATTATCTTTTTAGTAGGTCACTGGCCTCCTTGGGGAGCTGAGAGCAGAGGGAGCGCGGAGGCAGGTGGCCAGCTCGCCTCCCCCAGAGGCCCGGCGCGCGCGGTAGCTGCGCCGGTGATTAATAGTCCCGTCACTTTCCATGAATGTTGCTATAAGCAGCCGTGCTCGAAATTGAGTAGAAATGAAATAAAACAACCCGGAATAAACGTTTCCTTCTATGCCGTGCACGTTGCTGGAATCCAGAAATAGCTGCTCAAATCTATAATTTTAAATGGCATCATTCACGGCGTGCGCAGCCGTGGCTGGGTCTGCGCAGGGCTGTTGCTGGGCGCCCAGGCATCACTTTTTTGTTTCGCGAAATTTCCATCCACCCGGGAACTTGGAGAGTTCGGTGGGTGTATGTTTTTGTTTTGTTTTTGTTTTTCTACTGGCCACGGAAGTAAAACTAATGCTTAAGGAGAAAAACATAGCCTTTCCATGTGCTCTAAAGAAAGCTAACCAGTCCGCGGGGAAGGACAGTAACAGGAAAAGGAGTGTGTCCACAAAAATCACAGCCTGGAACAGTGGCTGCGGTCGGAGCAGGGCTAGGGCAGAACTGCCAGCACCTCCATCTCGGCCCACACTGAGGTCCTGAGCCCATGAGCACAAATCTGAAGCTGCCACTTAGAAGCAGCTGGTCCCTGCACCCGCTAAGCCGACTCGAGCTGTCGGGGCACTTCTCTCCACTGGACAGCCTGAGCTCTGGCTGCTGCAGGCTCTGAACCTTGATCCTTAGCATCATATTCGCCTAGATTGTATCCTCCCTGGAAAAGACAGAGCACCTCTGGGTGGTGGAGGTAGGGGATGCCCGGAAACAGGGACAACGCCCAGCTCAGTATATTGTCTGGGGCCAAAGAAGACAGGGAAAGTGGGGATGTAGGCCTCCCTCCATCCTCTCAGAATTTCTTTTTAGTCCTAAGCAATACAGCAACCCCAAAACTAATGGTGGGTGGTTCTGTTGGGCATACAGGCAAGGTGGGTTTCCCACCTGGATTGACTTTCTCCACCCCTAGTACCCACTAGACACCCCCCCGCCCCATCCCACCACCACCACCACCACCACCACCACCACCACACCTCAGTGTCTGTCTTTTATCAGAACAGAGCGACAAGCAGAGATTCCAAGAAGTGTCTTGGTGGGGGGGGGGGGGGGGGGTAGTGGCAGTTGGGCTGGGACAGGCCTGTCCTCTGCAGACTGCAAGCCAGGCTCCAGGCACTGTTCAGAAATATATTGTCACTGTTATCCAGGGTGGTGAGGTCATGAGACAAGGACAGCTGTTATTCACATAGGGGACAGACCACACCACGGAGGCAGAGGGAGTGAGGGGGAACATGGACAAAAACCTGTTATCTTGGTTTTTGTGGGAAGGAATGTGAGAGGCAGCGTTAATAGGCTAAAATGGTTTAGTGTGAGCTTATTAAACCAATTCCAGAAGTTTCTAGGGTCTGGGGGCTGTCTCTTTTGGTGTGGTACTTAGCCCTAGGGACATGGAAGCAGAGAAAATGGCTCAGTCAAAGTCCCTTGTAAAAGAGTATGCAAGGCTCCACAAGAGGCTGTGCATTGGTCATCTTGTGTGTGGAAGATGTTCTCACAAGAGCTGCATGTTCTCTCTAAGAACTGGACAGCCCACAGGTCAGCAAGGTCCCGGGTGTCAACATGTCAGACACATGTGGTCCATATATGTATAGGTGGCACTGCCCAGCACTGCAGCTAATGGATGAGCTGCTTTGGGCTTGCTGTGTGGACTGGCTTGGGTCGAAGTGTGAGTTGGGGAGGCGCAGTCTCAGTAGGAGGGGAAAGCATCTGACTGAACAGCCAGAAATTTGACCTGTGTTGGTTAGGGGTGAGGCTGGGTACAGGCAGAGCGCCAGGCCCGGATAGGGTCGATGATGATGCAAGAGGCTTAACTGGAAAACAAAAACAAAACAAATCAGAATATTCAAATAAGACCCAAGCTGACTGCTGAATGCCAAGTGCAGGCATTTGGATTCTGTTCTGCACAAGCTGGCCCGAGTTGTTTGGGCCTCTGGGGGCTTCTCCTAATGAATTCACACACACACACACACACACACACACACACACACACACACACACACACTCAGTGCTGTGCCATATATCACCATCAGAGAACTTAATTAACAAGTGAGGAGGCTGATGTCAGTTTATTCTGGATTGAAAAAAAAGAAATCCACTGTGGCTAGCTTGAAAATGTTCTGCCTCCTGAGCATGCAGGTAATGTCGGCCAGCCGGAGGGACACATGGGATGCTGGGGGACAGCCAGGACCCAGTCAGTATGAAAGGTTCTGAGCCTCGGAGACCTGGCAGAGCATATGGGTGGAAATGGGACCCAGAGCTGCCAGATCTGCCTCATTTTCAAGTAAGGCTACAGATTCATAGTCTTTTGTGAAAGCAGCTGAGTTTTATGTATTCACCTGGCGAATCGGCAGCCTGCTAGCCAGATTTCTCCACTCTTTGTCTCAAAGACCCTCATGGTAGATTTCTCTGCATCAGGAAGTCACCCCTACTCATCTCTGGGAATCTGAGAGGAAATAGGACCTTCACAAAGTCGATCTAAATTGGGAAATGGAGCCTGCATGGTCAGGGGCCTGGGGTTCAGCCTGGCATCCAAAACGCTTTTGGATGGGGGGGATCATCAGTGGAACACCCTTGCCTGTCGCATCTGCATGTTTTCACTGGCAGAACTCACCAATTTCATTTGTTCTGCAGGATCTAGTGTTTGTTGCATGTGGGGCAAAGGCACAGAACACAAATGAAAGCAGATACTTGATGCAATACTGTCTCAAATTACATTGAAATGGTAAACACTTTCCAGCAAGATGACAACTGAAAGGTACTATAATCAGTGGCTTCTTTTGCTGGTGCTGTGGTGGTTATTGTCTTGTCAAGGCCACAAAAAACACTGGTGATTGACAGGGCAAGTGGGCAGGGCTGGCAAGACTCTCCCACCCACCCATCTGGTTCTCTCTGCAGCCCCAGCTGGGAACTCAGTAGCCAGATGTGAGCCTTCTTGATCCCGGGGTCTGCCCAGTGCCCTGTGTGCAGATGTGAGTTGCAGGTGGTAGTGTCTGGTTTAGTAGACAAGAGTGACCACAGTGAAAGCTACAGCATGATCACAGCATTCAAGAAGGAAGTTCAGTGAGCAGGAACACAAATGGGATTTCTGTGAAATGAACTCACATGATGATGGCATCATTACTGGGTTTTTGACATTTTTTCCCATGGGTTTTACAATTATCTAACAAGAGCCGAGCTGTCCCCTAAAAACTACCAGCTTCATGTGCCTTGTGTGATGTGATTGGGTGCATGGACAGTGAGGTGGGGCAATATGGCCATGCTCCCTGCAGAGTGCTCAGCAAAGTGTTCAGCCCAAAGCACAGGAGTCTGCGCTCATAATGCTCCCCTATATCTCCTGATCGTCATGCTTGTCATCACCACATGGCAGACCAGGTGTGAATTCCGGGTACCTTATCCACTAAAAGGTCATGGAGTCTGGGATTGGTGAGAGCACAGTAAGTAAGGCACTTGCCTTGCACATGAGGGACCAAGTACCACATAGGCTTCCCCCGAGCACTGCCGGTAGTGATCCCTGAACTCATAGCCAGGAATAAGCCCTGAGCAAAGTTGAGCATGGCCCTCCAAAATGAAAAGGAAATAATATAAAAAGATCACGGTGTTCTTTTAAAAAAATCATATGAAGACAAACCTGAAATATAAAAAACTTTCAAGTGTGGTGTGGAATTTTTGTACCACTAAAACATATGAACGTTCACACTCATAAACCAATGTTAGCTCTCTAAAAAGTTAGTGTAGGGTTGGGGATATAGCTCAGTGGCTGAGCACTTGCCTTGCATGTATGAGGCCCTGACTTCAATCCCCAGCACCTCACACATGAAATCAAATATGTAAAAACTCTTACCAAATATTTATTATATGAAGAATCACTATGGTCCTTTCCTTCTTGCATTATTGCTGGCTGGTCTTGTTTTATTGGCGTGTATATGAGAATTGCAGGTTTATCCTACCTGTTTGATAATGGCCCCAGCGTGTGGCTGTGTGTGGGCATTTATGCATGTGTGCATGTATATGTACATGCATGTGGGACATGTTCTGCATACATCCACATTAAGATCAGAGGCTGGATTTGAACACAGAGCAGCAGTGTGCATGGGGCTGCGTCACCAGCTCTGATAGGGCTGGTTCTGTGAGACCTGCAAGGAGAGGTGCTGGGACTCCATACTGGTGCTGTCTCTTTATAAACCTCTCCGAGGTAGATTTAACCTCCATTTCCCCCAACACAATAGCTGTCTTATGGCAGACTTCCATAAGAAGGGGATTAGCAAGATTTGAAGAGCACTCCTTCCATGAAACTGTGGTGGAACTTGAGGAGGACTTGCTGAGAGCAATGGTGTGTTGTGGGGAGTCACAATGATGTGTGACAGGGCATGGGATTTGCCTTGTGAACTGTCTCCTTTAGAAATATGTCCCAGAATACTGCTCCTGTTCTATTAATTATGTCACTGACTTGGTAACACTGAATAATTAATAATAGTGGGGCACTCTCAAGTGCCCTGTTGAATATAAAGGAGTCAAAATTACTGTGTGTTCAGTAGACATGCGCCTTTAAAAATATCCTGAGGTGGGAAGGGTAATTTCCAGAGGCGCTAAAAAGCTTTCTCTTGGCCTATCTTCAGGAACTTTTGATTATCTTAGCCCTTCTTTTAGCATACTCAGTATTTTGTATCCAGAGGGATTTTAAAGACTAATGGTTGCTTGGCATTTTAACTTTGAGAGTGAAATTGCCTGGTGGATTTCAGTTAAGTTTGTGTCTACTTGATTCTCTCTAGCCGGAGGCAGTTTGGGCCAAAAGCCAAGGAAGAGGTCAAGATCATTAAACACCAAACACAGACCCTGCGACTGATGCCTCACCTGGCCACGGTCATCGCCCTGAACTTCGCCAGCAGGTGAGAGCTCTAGAGGGTCTGGCCTGGTAAGTGTGAGCCTTTGCATGAACAGGGCGGGAAGCGGAGGCTGGGTTGGGGGTTGGGGGAGCTTCGGGTTTTGATTGGGAGCAGGAAAGAGCATTACTGGCAGGAGACAGCACAGAGGGCTAATCTGTGCTTTGCATGTGGAAGGCCCTGTTCTTTTGTTTTGCTTTTAGTCTTGGGGCCACACCTGGCTGTGCTCAGGGCTTACTTCTTGCTCTGTGCTAAGGGCTCATTCCTGGTCATGCTCCAGGGCACCATGTGGGATGCTGGAGATAGAACCCGGTGGAGGTGGGATGGCCCGTGCGAGGCAAGAGTCCTACCTACTGTACTATCCCTCCTGGACCCCTGTGGCCTTGTTCTATCCTATCTATTCTGGTATCTCCAGAAGAGCTAAGAGTACAGAGCCACAGTAGCCCTCAAGCAGTGCTGGGTATGGTCCCAAACCAAACTCAAATCTGTGTTGAGGTGCAAAATGCTGTCCAAATCCTCCTTGTCTGTCTGTCTCGCTGATGGGGTTCACCAAGAGTTGGCAGAGAGTTGCACAGGTCTTTCCCCAGAGTTTCTGAATCAGATAAAAACTGTTAAGAACTGCCTCTGACAAAGATCCTAATTTACAGGGAAAACTTGAAAATCTAGGTTTATCTGGGGATAGTGGGGAAAGTGGACAGGTTATCAGAATAAAAACAGCACTTAGTGGGGCTGGAGTGGTAGCACAGCAGATAGGGCGTTTGCCTTGCATGCAGCCAACCTGGCTGACCTGAGTTTGATTTTTCCGCCCCTCTTGGAGAGCCTGGCAAGCTACTGAGAGTATCTCGCCCGCACAGCAAAGCCTGGCACGCTACCCATGAAGTATTTGATATGCCAAACACAGTAACAACAAGTCTTGCAATATTACTGAGCCCGCTCGAGCAAATCGATGAACAACGGGAGGACAGTGACAGTGACAGTGAAGGTTGTTTTTGAGATTTACCACACTGATGGTTAAGCTGGTTCCAGGGTTTATAGAGAAAAGGAAATTCGATTCTGGTGCCTGTGGTTATTTCGGGGCTGCTTGACTGCTTCTGGGCTGGCTAGTAGGGTCCTGGGTCTACTCTTCCTCTATTCGGGGCTGGGACTGCAGAGTGAATGAAGAGCAAATACTGCAGATGGAGCCATAGTTAACAACACTAGGATCAACCCACACCACCTGGAAGCAATTGTAAATCACTCACAGCAGCATCTTACCTGAAATGGGTACTGAGGTTTAGTTTGCACAACATTCCATTGCTTAGATTTCAGCTCAGTGAGTTAGGACAAGCAAGAATGGTGTACTATATGAAAGCTAGCCAACATAACATGCTGTATTAATAGAATATCTGAAAATAAAACTCCACATGGTCATCTTTATAGAGGTGGACAAAGTATTTTGCAAAAATCTAAACCATTTCATGATAAGAGACACTCAGACAACAGAGGACGGAAGGGACTTTCTGCCTCATAAAAGTTATCCATCCACCTAATTGGAAAAGTCTAGCTAGCATTATGCAAGATGGTCAAGGATCAAGTGCTTTCTCCACTAAGATCAGAAGCAGACAAGAATGCCTTTGTAATCTCTGGGCGTCTAGGGAGAGCCCCAGTGACTCTCCCTCTCGCGTCCGGGTTTGGTGGACTCGGGCCGCTCACCCATGCGGGGTGGCGCAGGCCATGGGCGGACGAAGGAGGAAATGAAGTCCACCAGGCTGGTTGATTATCAGTTGCCGTTTATTCCATTCTCCCCATGTGCCTGTTTCAGTCTCACTAAGCCCCCATTCTAGTCTCATACTGCCCCTTCATTCCCCTCTCCTCCTGTCTCTCCCGCTCATCTCTCTGTGCTCCCTTTTGCAGCCACCTCTCGTCTCTCCACACACCTGCTCCTGCACTCTTCCCCTACATTCTTCTCCCTCTGTCCCACTTGCTAGTCTCTCTTTGCTCCATCTTGCTGCCCTGGTCAGTCTCTCTCCAGCTCCCCACACTGGAAGTAGACAAGCCCCTCCCCCTGTCTGACAGCAAAAATCAACATAAGAAATCCCTTCCTTTGCTCAAGGCAAAATACCACTTAAGGTGTTTTTCTCCTTTCCTTAGTCCAATAACTTAATTAACATCTTAATCAACGTCAAAGCAAAAAGAAAGAAGTTACAAATGAACACTGGGGAATGGGAGCAAGCATTGTGATCACAATCACAATTCCACAATCCCGATCATCCTGTTGTTTATTGATTGCCTTGAGCAGGAACCAGTAATGTCTCCTTCGCCCTAGCCCTGAGATTTTTTTAAAAGTGCCATATTCAAGGCTCTTTCAGGGTTAGGAGAATGAGACCCATCATTTTTACTGGTATTTGGCATATTGGGTACACCATGGGGAGTTTGCCAGACTCTGCCGTGTGGGCAGGTTACATTTGGTAGCCTGCCAGGTTGTCCAAAGAAAGAATGAGATAATAAGATGTCCCAGAGCTGGGTTTTATAGTCTCTGGGTCTTGGCCATTGATGGGATTACATGGCTCCAGGGGCCAGTTGGTGGGTGTGACCCCTGCCTATGGGAAGATGGAGGATCTGGGTGGAGGATGCACGACTGTGATAGGAGTAACTCAATAAACCTAAGCTCCCTGGGGTGAGACTGAAAAGACAAACCAATGTTACCCTACAGATGGCTGCTCCCTCTTTTCTACTCAACAGTGGATTAGATGTTCTAGCAAAGACTGTCAGGCAAGTCAGATAAAAGCCATGTAGATTGGAGAGGAAGGACTACAACTATTTCTACTTATGATGACATCATCTTGATTATGAAAAATCCAAAGGAATCCAGTAAAATTTATTAGAACGACTATTTCACTGCACAATCGTCACCATTGTATAAGCATTGCACATTGTTTTTAAGCAATAATGGCACAACTTTTATTTTTATTTTTGGGCAGTAAGTGCTCAGGGATTACTCCTGGACCTATGTCTAGGGATCACTTTTGGTATTGCTTGGGGACCATATGTGGTACCAGGGATTGAAGTTGGTTTGGCTGTATGCAAAGCGAATGTCCCACTTACCATACTAGTTCTCTGGCTCCATGAAACAACTTTTGAAACAGCTACACATAAGGGTTTTAGCCTACGTTTTCAGAAAAAAAAATGGCATAAAATCTGCAATTACTATGCAATGAAATTAAATAATAAATAAGGCACCAAGATAATGGTATACTAGGGTTAAAAAACAAATTGTGTTTTTCTAGCCTTGCAATGGGTATTTAATAAATACAATAAAGAATAAACCAATTCCAAATATAATATCATATAAAGAATAAAGTAGATATGAATAAGTTTAACAAAACAAGTTAAAGAAATATAAAAATATCAAAAGTTACCCAATATTTATAATATGAAGACAGTATTGTAAAGATGGCAGTTCACCTGCAATTAATATGTAGACCTTTATTAAAATGCCTATAGCCTGTTTTTCTCTAGAAATTAACAATGTGGTTTTAAAATTCTATGGAATGAAATAGACCCAGTATAACCAAGGCAATTCAAAACATAAATAAAATTTGATCATAAAAAAGTCAAATACGGGGCTGGAGCAATAGCACAGCGGGTAGGGGGTTTGCCTTGCACGCAGCCAACATGGCTGACACAGGTTCGATTCCCAGCATCCCATATGGTCCCCCGAGCACTGCCAGGAGTGGTTCCTGAGTTCCTGAGTGTATGAGCCAGGAGTAACCCCTGAGCATTGCCGAGTGTGACCCAAAAAGCAAAAAAAAAAGTCAAATACTTTGCAATTTAAAAAATTACTATAAACTAAACAGTAATGCGGTATCACTATAACATTACAGTATTACAGTAGTACAGAATTTGAAAAGGAAATATATATGGATATGGCAATAGCATAAAATTGAGAAGAAATAAGTGAATTCCAAAATATATGATCAATGAATGTAGGTGAAAGTAGTCAGTGCACTGGTGAAAGAATTGCCTTTTCAACATATGGCATTGCTACAACTGAAGAGATGCATATAGAGAAATGAAGTGGATCCCTCCCTTACGCCGTATATAGCTTTTAACTCAGAAGGAGCACAATCTCAAATCTAAGAGCTAAAACAGTAAAACTCTTAGAGAAGAACAGGTGTGATCTTCACAGTCAGGGACTGGACGGCAGTTTCCTAAATGCAACAAAGCATAAGCAATAATGATGGCACATAGGTAGCGGCCACGGGAATAGCATAGCCACAGGGTCTCCGTTTGGCAGATGTAAGGCTGGTGAAGTTGTGAGTTTAATCTCCAGCACTGCCCCACTTGCCTGGATACAATCCCAGTGACTCTGCTCTTTGGGATCCCCAGAACCACAGAACTGCAGCCAAGTGTATGACGCCTGGCAAGCACTTCCACCAAAACATGCAGGAGAACCGCAACTGAAGTCTGTTATCCCTAGAGAACACTGCAGATAAAAGCATGTGAGCTCTGCAGCTGAGATCAGGAGGCCCCTGGCCCTCGCAGAAACAAGCATGAATGACGGAGGGAAAGGAAGGGTTAACAATAGATGGGCTCACTTTTTATTTTTCGTTTTGGGTCACACAGGGTGATGCTCAGGGGTTACTCCTGGCTCATGCACTCAGAAATTATTCCTGGCGGTGCTCAGGGTACCATATGGGACGCTGGGAATTGAACCCAGGTCGGCCGTGCACAAGGCAAATGCCCTACCCGCTGTACTGTCGCTCCAGCCTTCACTTTTTTTTCAACTTTTAAAAATTGAGTCACTGTGAGATAGACCCTTACATGATTAGATTTCAGGCATACAGTGTTCCAACACCCATCCCTCCACCAGTGTACATTTCCCAGCACCAGTGTCACTAGTTTCCCTCCCATCACCCCCCCCCCAATCCTCACCCCCATCCTGCCTCTATGGCAGGAGCTTTTCTTTTCTCTCTCTCTCTCTCTCTCTCTCTCTCTCTCTCTCTCTCTCTTTTTCTTTCTTTCTCTTTCCCTCACTTTCTCTCTTTTTGTCTCTCTCTGTCTCTCTGTCTCTGTCTCTGTCTCTCTCCTTCCTCCCGTTCTGGGTATTGTAGTTTGCAACACCAACACTGAAAGGTTGTCATGTATATCCCTTTACCTACTTTTAACACTCAGTTCTTGTCCAGTTTCAAGTATAATTGTTCCAACTATTATTGTCACACTGGTCTGTGGTTTTCTCTATCTTACCTACCCTCTCCCACACACACACTTGTGGTAGATTCCAATCATTGACCAGTCCTCCTTGTCCCTGTTTTCCCTGGCTTTGGATATAATTAGTCTTTTACTATATATTTTTTATATCACACAAATGAATGCAGTCATTCTGTATCTGTCCCTCTTCTTCTGACTCATTTCACTCAGCATGATACCCTTCATGAGATGAGCTCACCTTTAACCAAGGTAAACTCTAGTGATTCAAAGAGCACTGAGCGGGAGAACACAATTAAGTTATAAAGCTCATAAGAGATTTACACCTCAGGTAGCTGAGAAATGAAACACAACAGCCACTCATCAGTTTGAAGGAACAAGTTCCAACTGTTTGAGTTTCCTAAATGACATTGTAACTCATGGCCACACAATCGGCAGTTTAAAATAAGCATCCGCTTATTATACCAGCAGCCCTGGAGTTAGAATCTGAAACGGGTCTTTTGTGAAACTTTTCCTTTCCTTTTTTTCCCCCCTTGTAAGCAGAGTAGAGCTCAAGAGTAGAAGCATGTGTAATGGCATCCCAAATCAGGTGTCTTCAAGACTGCATTCCTTATGGAGGCTTCTAGGAGAATTCATTTCCTTGCATCTCCAGCTTCCTCAAGCTCCCTTTGGTCTGTGACCTCTTTTCTTCATCATGGTCAGTGATGGTTGATGAAGCCTTTCTCAAGCTGAGTCCTTATCTAGGTGTCTGCTCTAGTGCTCGAGCATCAGGACCTTTTCAAAGACATTGGACCCATTGGGATGGCCCAGGAGAACCCCCTTGGCCCTCCAGGATCTTTAATATAATCACATCTATAAAGTCTATTTCCTCATGAGACCACACAGTATGGGGCCACACCTTCTTCCATTCCAGGGATGAGGACCAGGAGGACATCTTTGAGGGTGTCATTATGACACAGCCCAGTTTAGAAATTTCAGTGAATGTGGAATTAAATGGAAAAGTCAAGAGACATGTGAAACTTTTCCTTTCCTTTTTTTTTTTCTTTACCTTGTGAGCAGAGTAGAGCTTAAGAGTAGAAGCATGTGTAATGGGATCCTGTGTGCACAGGCTAAAGTGGAGAGAATTGTCAAGTGTTCATTTTATGTGGGGACAAGGGGTTCAAAGACATGGTCTTGTGTGAGTGGAAACATGATCAGGAAACATGGGCTGAGGGGAAGGTGAAGTTTTCTGGGGGGAGAATGGTGTGGAGGGGCCCTGGGAAGAATCTGTGGGGCCTGTCAAGTCTCGGGGGAGGAGGAAGGGTTTGCTCTGAGTTGCCTCAGACACAGGCCCATTACTTCCTTCCTCAGGACAGGTGTGCTTCATGCTTCACAGGTCTCTGCTTGTCCTCCAGGTATGCCGGAGCCCTTCTGGACAAGGATATATTTCAGGGGAAGGAGCTAATCAACAGCCGCCCTCTGCAAGCCCTGGTGGCAGGGCTGAAGGCCTACAGCACGTGGGAAAACATCAGCTGCTTGCAGGATTGTCGTGAATGTACCGGAGGCATGGTGAGCCCTGGTGTCCTGGGACATTGCAAACTGGGGCGTGCTGTGGGATCAGCACATGGAGCAGGGGGAAAATGCTCTGGAGTGGAGGTGGGCAGGGGCAGTCTGTGGCCTAGAATCTCTGGAGCTCCACCCTGTCCACTTCCGGTCAGCACAACCACAGTACTGGAGTGTGTGTGGTGTGGTGAACCTGGAGCCGAGTGCTTATTCCGGGGATCACTCCTGGCAGTTTCAGGGGAAAATATGCAGGGGACCAAACCAGGGTTGGCCACATGCTAGGCAAATGCCCTACCTACTGTACCTATGGCTCCGGCCCCAGGATTCAATGTTTTTATTCCTCGGCGAGAATGTGCTGAATGACTCCAAATATCTCTAACTCCGAGAAGGAGGCAGATTGGAGGTGTGTCAAGCCTTCAGAGTCAGTTTAGTGTGTTCCTAACCCAGACTTCACACTGAATTGAGCAGTGAAGGGGTCAACGTGTGAAAAATTCCAGTATGAGCCTTTGGAGAATTGTGGAAGGGACCCTGAAAATATGTGGGCTCTGTGCTATAGTTCTACACAAATTTTAAGAGTGGCTGTGCCAGCAGGGTGTAGGGCTCTGGCTGGGAGAAGTGGAACCCAGGTGGGGTCTCTGAGAATAGAGCAGTGGCACTCCATCTGAGTGACACTGCAGATTTGTAGGCGTCAGCTAGGGTGGCATCTGGGGTTCAGCGCCAGCTTGTGTCAGTGTCCCCAGATACAGGGCCAGGTGCAAATATGGGATGGCAGGGTGGGTATCCTGTCAGGCTTTGGGGCTGAGCAGAATTCTGAGGCTCCATCCTGTAAGGCAGGGTGAAGAGTTTCTGCCTTTATGAAAGGGTTCAAGTATAAGCTGAGGGCAGCAAATGGAAAGGAAGAGGAAAGATGAATTTTGGGAAAACCCGACTCCACCTTTGCCTCAGAGCCAAGGGTGGAAGGACTCCTGCAGGGCCAAGGGGGTAGGAGGCTCCTACAGGGGTGCAGGGGAAGAGGGTCTGAGGTGGCAAGTCTGACTGGCCTGATGACGCCTCCTGTGTTTGCTTATCGGAATGTCAATGATCATTTTCCTCATGCCCATGATGCAGTGGCAGCCTGGGCTAACCTGGAGGTTCTTGTGGGTTTCTGGTGAGGGTGGGGACATGGGGACATGTTTGCTTTGCACCCATTGCTCACAGAATGGAATTGAAGGTGGCAGTAGGCACTGTGGTGGGGTGGGGTAGAGAGTTATAGTCAACCGAGGCCAGAGGGATAGTGGCTGGTAGCAACCTTCCTTAGTGAGCACACAAAATCTGGAGGGCCAAGGGAGGTGACACCTGGGCAGCAGGGGAAGCATGGCCCAGGCTCTGGAGAGAGCAAGATTAGGTCATTAGGAGCTGGGGTGTCTCCTAGGTAGGGCTGCCTCTGGGGGTGCCGGGCAGACTCGGATCTTGTAGCCAGGTGCAGCCCCAGGGTCAGTTCTGAACCATGAGTCTTCTCGCTTTCTTTGTGACCCTCCCCATCGAGTGCCTTCATGGGCTGACTGCCCTTTGTCATAGCACGTTCTGTCTTGGTGCTCTGGGTCCTTGAGGACTATGTAAAACCAGCACTGGAACCCTCACATGTGTTGGGCATTGTGCAGATGAGGCAGCTATGCTTCTGCGACTGATGGTAGCCATCACTGCGGGTCCCATGAGTGTCCCCTCCCCGCTGCCCCAGTGCAGTGTCCTATGACATCATTACATCCAGAGTGCTGTGAGGTCCAGTCCACGAGGGCCATGTTCTGCAGAGTCCAGTGCCTGATGCCCATGAGCCCCGTAATCTGTCTCTCCTAGGGATGCCAGCTGCTCTTCACTCCACTGGATTCTTGGCTCTCCATCTGTGTACAGAGGTGGGAGCTGCTGTCCACTTGTGCTCTCCCTCTTCACATGGACATGGGGCCTGGAGGAGGAAGCTACCTGTCCAGTGTCCCCTTTTATTGTGTACTCACCCCCCACCGTTAGCTATTATTCCCCCTACCTGATCATTCATGCTCATGTGGCCAAGATTTAAAGTGACCAGTCAGTGAACTAGATTATCCTCTCGGCCTCAACCTTCACGAATCACGACCATCCTGTTAATCATTGATTGCCTCAAGCAGGCCCCAGTAACGTCTCCTTTATCCTAGCCCTGAGATTATATTCAAGGCTCTTTAGGAGAATGAGACCCATCATTGTTACTGGTATTTGGCATATTGGTTGCGCCACGGGAAGTTTGCCAGACTCTGCCGTGTGGGCAGGCTACATTCGGTAGCCTGCCAGTTTGTCCAAAGTAGGAATGAGATAATATGATGTCATAATAAAGATGTCGCGTGGCCGCGCAGTTCCGGGAGCTGGTTTTTATAGTCTCTGAGTCTTGGCCACTGATGGGATTACACGGCGCCAGGGGGACAGTTGGTGGGTGTGACCCCGGCCTACTGGAATTTGGAGGATCTGGGTGGAGGATGCTCGGCCCCAATCCGAGTAGGCTTGGAGATCTTGGCCCCGGAACCCGCGTGGCTTTGTCCCTCTGCCAGTACCTTCATTGTGTGCGGAGGGTGGTCTCAGCATGGTGGTGGCTGGTCCTGGAGGTCTTCGGCTGTCAGAGCCCTGGTCAGAGCGGGGAGGAAAGCTCAACCCGCTCCCCTCCAAGGGGCCCCGGCGAGGACAGCAAGGCGTGGGGGCAGGAGACTGCCTCAACCTTATCCGCTGCAATCCCCCCACCCTGCCCTTCATGTGCTGTCCACCCCCAGCTTCTGATTTCCTCATGGTCATCAGACTGGCCCCCACAGGCTACTGTGGGAACCGTGTTCATCCTCAGCTGGCTCAGAGCCCTGACTAGCATATGCCCAGGCCATCACCCTTGCCCTCTTCTCCAGTGTCCCTGCCCAGTTAGGATCCATTTGTTTCCCAGCCAACACCCTTGCTCGCCTTGTTGTCAGAGAGACGTGAGATAGAGCAATATTCTTCCAGGCCGGAAAGTCTCCCCATTTTTCCCCTCACATGCTCCACTGCCCCCAAAACTTTGCCCCTCAGGTGCAACGACCCTGACTTCAGTCCTGCAACTTCCTCTCCTGAGACAAAGAGCCATCAACCCCTGCATCTGCGCACCTTCTAGCACAGACCTATTCACACAGGCATGAGTTTGTTGAAGGGCAACTCACCCTTTGGCATGCTGATGACCTAACACAGCATCTACTTCTGGCCAGGTACCTCTAAGAAAGGGGAGGCAGAGACTCAGGGTCAGGGGGGCTGCTGAGATGAAGGGGAACACGGCCTGCTTTGTGACTGTAGTTGACTTTGAAACTCTCTATATACCAGGTTTCATTTAGTGCCTTGGGAACTGGGTGTGTGAGGGAGCTTGAGACAGGGCTTCTCTCTCAGCCTCAGTTTCTCATCTCCAGGATGAAATGAAGAGGCTTTCCTTGACTGTTTCTCTTCCTCTTCCTTTCCCTTTGCTGCTGGTGTTGTGATTTCCATGGGTGACTTGCACCCACTGGGGCTGCTCTCAGGGGTCACTTGTCTGATGATAGTGCTCATACACATATACACTGGGATCTCACTTAGCTATGGCACTGGAACACATTCCCATTGCAGTGCTTGATGGGAAATACGTGCTGACCACAATGCTGGACGGTACTCAGTTGAGACACTTCTCAGGGGTCACATAGCTTATTTGCATCACTTGCACACACCTGTCATGTGTATCAGAAATCATACACTCCATTGCTGTACCAGGGTTCTGAGATGGCAGAGCTGCCAGGCTTGATATATGTGGGCAGAAGTCCCTTGCATGACTTTGGGCTTGCAAAATAAGTGCGTCTAGTCACCAAGCCATGCCCTGTACCCTGTACAGAGTGTGAGGGTTTCACTCTATGAGCTGTCGAGTGTGAAATGCTTTACACAAGAACTTCTGAAGCAGCAGTTGGCATCTCTCTGAAGCACCTTGCCTAGGGTAAAAAATACCACTTGTTCTTTGCTATCGTACAAAGTTGCTGCAGAGTTTGTCATGGTACAGCAGACCTTGGGCAGAATCCAGGCTGGAAGGACTCAGAGAGATTAGCGTGGGGGCGGAGGGCTTAAGAGAGTCATTTTAGGTTCTTAAATGATAAGAGTCTTCCATCTGGGGTGGGAGGGGCAGCCAGGCATGGAACCCCAGCAGTTGGGAGGAAAATGTGGGAGTGTGTGGCACGTACACAGACACCAGGATCAAGCATCAGAGGGGTTGCAGAGGAGAAAAGGATCCGAGTGAGAAAGCCAGGATTAGACCCAGGTGACGGGACTGATCAAGCTTCAGAGCTGCCTGTGGCAGGTGCCCAGGCGCACTGCCTCACCTCAGATCAGTGAGGTGCAGCAGATTCAATTCACAGCAGGAAGCCTTTGGCACAAGGCCTGGTTCACCGTAGGCTTTTGCCAACATGAGGTGGGGTGATTGGGTCACACCCGGAGAGATGTTCAGAGGTTACTCCTGGGTCAGGTCTCGGGAATTACTCAGGGTGATCAGGAATTACTCTGTATGGGGCATGGGGATTGAACCTAGGTCAGCTGCATGCAAGGCAAGCACCCTTCCTGTCGTACTAGCCCTCCGTCCATCAAACATGTTTGGCCATGACCCAAAGTGAAAGCTATACTTTTTTTTTTGCTATTTTCCTGTATTCACAAACATACATGTATTAAGTAAAGTTCATTTTATGAGACAGTTATTGCCTCACTATTGCAGTGTGTTCTCCTATTCAGAAATTTGTTTTCTGTTACTTTAAGAAAGGGCTGGAGTGATAACACAGTGGGTAGGGCGTTTGCCTTGCACACGGTCAAACTGGGTTCAATTCTTCCACCCTTCTCGAAGAGCCTGGCAAGCTACCAAGAGTATCTTGCCCGAACGGCAGAGCCTGGCAAGATCCCCTTGACGTATTCGATGTGCCAAAAACAGTAACAAATTTCACAATTTGTTGTGAGATGTTACTGGTGCCTGCTCAAGCAAATCGATGAAC